GGGCGAGGGGCAAAGATCAAAGGGGAGGGGGAAGGTTTACTCTTGTCCCCGCCACGCTGCCAGCCGCATGAGTTACTACACAGATTTTGCCGTTCCCTCTCCAGGAAGGCACTGGTGCTTAGCAAACGTATGATGAATGCCTGCATGTCTAAACAGCGGTTAGACATGAGAAGGAAGGAACCAGATTAAAAGAAAAAAGGTGCATGTGTGGGAGGAAGTTACCTGGTGTCTCCCACCCAGCTCAGGGTCTGCACCGCGCTTTGCCCCCAGAACATCATATTCATCTCTGTGCCCATGAGACAGTTTCTGAAACGAGAAAGCAAGAAGCAGTGATGGACATTATGATCATGAGAAAATAGATCTTGACTTAACACAGGAAAAGAAAGGGAACCCAGTTTGGTGTCCAACTTCATGAGTATTATAGCCGAGCTAGAAATTATTTTACCCCGTAATGCAACTACCAACAAAAATTTCTACGATTAAGCCATGGAAATGACAACAAGTGGTTTGTGCAGCACAAAACTGCAAGCCACTGCATCAAGAACCTTTCTTAAGTAGAAATGAGCTGAAAATGAGAGCACGCAAGGGGGAGGGACTCTGACTTTCATGCTTTCTCTCCCACTGGTGGGTGAAGATCCACGAGCTTGGTTTTTCTTGCAGAACAGCTCGTCTAAATTTGCATCAAGTGGCTGTAGAAATTTTATGTGCAACACATTTCTTATCTGGGAAAGGTTACCTTGGAAGAGGGCAAAGGAGAGATTTCAGGTCAGAATAACACAGCTGACAGAGTGCTACTGAAAAGGTGACAGGCAACACTTCTTAAACTGAAAAAAAACGCATTAGTCTTCATACATTACACAGTTAAACAATAGAACTCATCACAGGATGTGGCTATGGTCAAAAGTGTGAGAGAAAAGAAAAATTAAAATCAAAAGACAACTAGACATAGCAAAAATAGCTAGAGTTTAATGCTACTATGAGTGAGCAATTTAGCTAGGAAGGACAGACAGGATCTTGTCTCTGTCCTCTTTCACTACCTGAAGAGCCATCTGATGCTGGCTACAGTCAGGGCACAGCGGACGAGGTATGCCTCTAGTACGATCTGGTACAACAGGTCTTACGCTGCCAGGCAACAGGAAAGCTCCGGGACGGAGACAGCTGGGCTGCGATGACTCAGGCTCCACACACACAATGATACAAGAGCTACAATCGCCCAAAGTCAGCAACGCAGCATTCCTGCGTCAACAGGAATGACATCAACGGCAACAACACCGGCAATATGGGTGGCAGCATGCCTGTGAGTCGCCCGAGGAACAGCAATTGGCGAGAGCTGCAAGCCAACTGCAGAGGGCTGGGCACGAAGTTGGGGTGCGCACATTACATATAACAGTCCGGTGGCTGCACACACACACAGAGCTCTCGCAGGCGTGTTACATGGTGCAGCACACCGAGCACTGCCTCTGAAATGGTCTGGGTTCCTGGTATACCTTCAGCTCAGTGCATCAAATCAGGAACCTACAGTCCACCTATCTATCTAGCATCCAGCCAGACAAGTGACAACAGAAGCTGCCCTTGTCAGGTTTTATTTTTCCTCCTTACAGCTGCTGTGCTGCACATTTGGGTATATCGCTTTCGTTAGCTGGGTCATCAAGTTTTTCTGAACCACAGGCAATTCACTATCTATAAGTGCCCAAAAAGGTCTGTTCTGGGTAGCAGATTTGAAAACAAACAAACAAAAGCCAGTAGTTACTTACATTATACACATCATCCTGGCCCGGTCGCAGCTGTGGTTCAGAGGCCTGGCTAAGCTGGAAGAAAGACCATACCATGAGCAGAGAGATAGTGGCTCCGTTTAGTGCTTTCGTTCCCTCTCTCCCTACTCGCATCAGAAACAGGGCAACCCATAAGCAGCCAACCTGTGGCACCGATAAGGCTACAGGCAATACAAGCCACTGCTGCGCTAGCACTTTTATCCACACGCCAGGTTGCTGTCAGCAGCCAGGCCGTTTTACTTGCATGTAACACCAGTTCACTGCTACTCAAAGTATCTGTGGTTTGTTTTTTTTTCCCCCTTCTGCTTTTGCATTCCTATTCTGTGCATATCATAATGCTGTGCTATTGAAAGTAGCTCCATCAGGCTATAAAATCATACGTGCAGCCTGTGTTAAGAAAAACTGGGTATCTGGGGCTGCTAACAACCAAAAGCACCCCCCGAGACCCCAGCCCTCCAGCAAAAGTGCTGCCTGCAAAGTTCCTGGGTGTCCTCAGCTTCAGAGGGCACGGGGATCCCCACGCCTGTCGGGAGCGGCACCTGGCTTGCGGAGCTGCAGTGCCACCATGGTAAGTTAGCATGAGTGGCAACTAACGAGTAGGTAAAGAATTTCCCTTCTGTAGCTACTCTTGGGCTACTCCTCACAATATTTATGAGCAGTTAATTGCTGAGCCAAACTTTCAGGAAAAAAGGGCAGTTTTAGGCCAGTGAGAGCAGCTACTTTGTGTTCCAGTCCTTTCAAAAAACAGTGTCAAACTACATTCTGTATTGCTTTAACCTTCTTGAGGTATTCTCATACGTTAAAATCTTTATTAAAAGCAACTTTCTAGATGGGTTTGTTTTTAGGCATAGGATAAACTTGACTTTGTTTTTTAAAATCATATTTGTAGTAGGTACAAGTTACCTACCCCACCACTTGCCCCACGAAAGTGCCATTATCGCCACTGAACCTTTGGTGGGGCCAGTAATTTACCAAGCATCTAACCCATGTTTCTTGCAATGGAGCCTAAATGTTCACGTGCATCGTCCATGTGGTCCATAAATAAAAAGCTCACAACAGAGACGAGGCTGTGCCCTTGGCAAAAGCCTCCACAAACAATTCCTTCGGCCAGGAGGCGAGGTTAGAGGTATGACACAGCTTGGAAGATTTATAAAAAAGTCCTAAGTTTGGGACAAGACAGAGGCCCCTTGGAAAATGCCCGACCAGCTTCTTGGTGCTTTATGGTGGCGTTTCAGCTGCAGCGCCTCTGCTGCTTTCGGCTGCGAGACTCCAGCGTAACCAGAGGCATGGCTTTCCCCTTCCTTCTGCTGCCTTCCTTCATGCAACAGCTTATTTGCTGCAGCTGAACGCTATGCATGTTACCAGCAAACAGCTAGGCACATCAGGAGGACAGCGAGTGCTCCCAGACCTAAAGGTGAGGGCCGCTGCCTCTGACCAGGAGCCATTTCCAGCTCCAGCTCTGCCCCTGCAGGGAGCCCCAGCAGGAGAAACCACACAGGTTTCTGCCCCTGCAGCAGCACGCTTAAGACACGCTCTGGGTGAGGGAGGAAGAGCGGCTGGCGAGTGCACCACGGCTGCAGCAGCTCCCTGTGCCAGGTGCATGCTCCTCCTTGGATGCTCCTCCTTGGATGCTTTGCTGAGCCCTCTTCAACTATCGCGATCTCGCCCTGCACAGGGCAAGGTGCACAGCTCCTGCCAGCTGGTACAGTGCACGCTCCATGTGCCCCAGAGGCTCATCCCTCTAGCAGCCTCAAAAAGACTTCCAATCCCAGAGCAGCACTTTCATCTGCAGTCAGGATTTACGCTGGCAACAAAAAAGGTTTCTCCTTCACGGTTACCGAGTTCTGCTCATTTCCGCCAAACATCCCTCCCTCCCTCTGGGTTCAGCACTGGCTTTGCAGTCCTGAGAAATGATCCCACCAAAGAGCCGGTAGGGCACTAGCAGCAGCACAACATCACCCTGTCAGGGCTCCTGCTGGTGATCTCAGCCACGACCTGGCGAGAAGCAAGCTGAGATCCCAAGTGCAGCAAGCCTTTGCTTCTGGGGGGAGGCTAGGCCAGATGTGCAGACAGCAGTCAAGACACCTTTTGGCCATTGCACCATTGCATTGGAGTGCCCTGTGCCGGGGAGAGGCAGACAGCTCCTCCCCTATGATTAGCAGAGCTCTCAGAGCACGTACGTGTCTGGAAATGTACATGCCTTCACCACATTACGTTATTTTCTTCTGTGGAAGTGCACTAAAGCCACTAAGTGTCTCCCTAGATGCTGAACAGCTGCTGGATGGTAACAACAGCCCATCAAGTTGTGTCTGTCCCGTCCCCCTGACTCCTCTCCTGTGGTTGTTGGGGTTATATCATTTGCATCATTACACTCATACTATCAAAGATGTCTGACTTCTTGAGACATTTTAATACATCCTTCGCAAGCTTGGCATTTATACTGAATTTTCTGTATATCCCCTCCTCTCTTTCCAATGACAAAGCAGCAGAAAAAAACACATCACTGTTGATCAGGCATTTCCCAGCTACGATATCCAGAATGTCTGACTGCATCCGTAACTCTAGCATCAAAATAGTCTCAGATACTCTCTTCCCCTCCATTTGTGAGCCCTCAGAAAGAACTCCCCCAGATTGCTCAGGCTGGCACCAGAAAAGGAGGAAAGTAAAAAAAAATCCCAAAAAACAAAAAGGAGAAAATAAAAAAATAAAAAGGTCTTATTCTAAGAGACATGCTTCCTCCCCACCCCCACTTTCCAGCTAAGCCCAATTTGTTTACACCACCAAAGCCAAATGCATCAGTGTTTGGATAGACTGACCTTCGCTTTCACAAAAAGGGCTGTCATGACGACTGCGTAAATGAAGAGGAATCCATCCAGTACGTAGCAGAGTCTTGGGTCTGTCAGTCCGAGAACTGGTACAGCATCTGTACAGAAACATCAGATACATCAACAAACAAGGCCATTTGTGTCACTGTGTGCTTGACGGCATAAATGTGGCAGTGCTGCATGGTGCTTCATGAAAAAATAGCCAGAATGAGGGCAAGTCTGTCCATTTGCAAAGGAGATGGAAATCCGAGTAAGAATCATAGGATTAATTAGGTCGGAAGGGACCGCTGCAGGTCTAACCCTCCCCTCTAAACAGGGTCAGTTAGACCAGGCTGTCCAGGACCTCAGCCAGCTGAGTTAGAGTCACTCCAAGGATGGAAATGTTTGTAACCTCCCTCAACCAGTACAGGACATTTACCCAGAGTCTCCCACCCACAGAGTCTGGGCTCTGCTCCCTGCAGCTCGCAGGCACTGGTCAGGGTGCATGGAGATAACCAAGGGTCACTAACACCGCAGTTACTGCAAGAAAGCTTCATATAGAGCATTTGTTTTCTGGGAAAACCCAGCAGCATCTCCTGCAGGGATTCATTACTGGGCCTGATTAGGGATTCCTTCATCAACTAAAACTTGTGTGTGCGTGAGAAAATACATCCTTTTGGACAAAATTTTAGGGAAGGGCTTCTCAGGACAAAATTTTGTGTTAAATGTAAAGAAAGATTGACACCACCATAGTCAGCTGGAGATCCAGGCTGAAATCGCTACTCTACTTTATTCAGAAGAATTTGAAGATGCATCTCCTGTATCCCAGGTTATATATTGTAACCGTAAAGCTGCAGTGTCTTCTCTGTGAGGGTTCTCTTGGGCTCCCAGTTTGGGGATGTTGGAGACCATTAATCATGAGAAGGGAACTATGGGCAGGAGAGACAGACTTTTAACCCCAGATACCACAACACATCCATGAGATACCCATGAGATACCTGATGTGCTTTCGGTTTGAGAGGAAGGTTTTAAACCTGAATTCCCAGGAACCTCAACTGGCTGTCTCTTGTTGGATGGATCACCCCCAGGAGATTATTATTTTTTATTTGTTTTTAAAAGAAATGTTAAAATTTTTCTGAGGGAGAAAAATCTACTACTACCCTAATGGACAGCTCAATAAAATTGTTACTCAGAAGATGTTGACGTTCATTTCCTAGTCAACGTCGCATATGTTTATACCCTGAGCGCATCAAGCAGAGCACAGTAATATTGTTGGTTTTCAGCAGCTAAAACTGATGAAACTGCCCCTGTATCAGTTCATAAACATATAGTAAGTTCACAAATGTAGCTAAAAAAAAAAAAAAAAGAAAGCAATTCAGGTCAAGAAGCCTAAGTAACTATAGATCCAGTATGCAGCTCCAGGGCCATCCCCAAAGGAAAAGCTGTATTGCACAGTTATTAAAAAAAACCCACAAAACACTTAAAAATGAATCTGAGATGTGCTTTGTACAAAGAATTGGAGGGAGTTCAAAAGAGAAAGACAAGAATGATCAAGAGCCTGTGAAGCCCTTCGATGAAGATAAATTGAAAAGAATTGGTATGATTCATCTCCTTCCTAAGGTGAACAAAGTATGGCAATTCTTATTAACCGTATGTGATGGAGGGTAGTTGAACCACTCAGTGCAGCGCTTCAGGGTGCTGAGTTACTCCAGTGCTGACAGCGAGACCATTTTGTGCGCTGGGATTTCTCGCTGGCCCATCAGGCCACGCTGACGATTTCATTAGAAGAAACTTGCAGATGGCATTCAGGCAGCATGCACTCACCACCGTGAGGAAGTCTCCTTCGCAGAAATAAAGTTAATGATGATGGCTTGTCGCACTGCTCAAGTGTGCAATTTGTATAAAGCATGACTGAAAAGCTGTGCCTGGATACTTGGTAATGTAATTGTAAATTCTCAAGCAGATGATGATACAATCACTGTTCCCGCTGAGAGCCTAACACAGCCAGAAAAAAAACCATTTCCAAACATTAGATTTGTTTCCTTGTCTGAACTGGGAGTTCACATTCATTTTTTTTTTGATCATGTGTTTAGAAACAACTCCATGGAAATAAATTAAGATTAAGATCCTAGATGGTTTTCTTTCTTCCCCTCCTATTTCTATTATTTTAAAAATAAGGTTCAAAGCACTTTATAAACAATAATCTTCACCACACTTTTTTCAGGATTATAAAACCTCCTATACATGGGGTAAATGGAGACAGAGAGATTAAGTTATTTGCCCGACGTTGCATATTAAACCAACAAACAAGCTGAGATTCGTTTCCTAGAGTTTTTCTTCTAAACAGTCACAGGACAATATTTTTCGCCAGAGTTGGTTCAACACAAAACCAGCTTGAATCGCATTAGACTTGGTAGCTAAAATGCAGCACCAGGGAATACAGCTGCACAGCATCCAGAGGGAATTTGTTTCTAGCAGTAATTCAGTTGCTTTTGCGCAGTGCAGCAGTCTGCCCCAGCGTACCCTGGCCTCGAGCTGGATGTGTCCAGAAGCAGCTCAGGGTTTTCCAGCGCTGTGCCCAGATCAGAAATACAATGTAAGGAAGGCGAGCAGCCCAGCACAGAGCCAGCCAGAGCCAGGAAGCCTTGGGGTATCTGAGATGCTGCTGAAGAAGGCTTTGGGGATCCTGGCCCTGACTCCCCTCTTCCTGTACCAAAGCAGGGCACGTTCAACACTGTCATGTCAACTCCAGTATTTCTCCAGTACTAATAAACTCCCCAGACCAGGAGGAGCTCGAGCAGGAGATGTAGAGGACTACGGAGGAGAAGTCAAGAGTGCAGGGGACCTAGCTGTAAGCTCCGTGTCAGCTGTGGTCAACCTTGGCTGACTCTGCGGAGCCGCCCAAGTGCCTATGCAGTGCTTATCTAGGGCAGCCTGGCCTCCAGCACCTCAGGTAATGGATTAAAGCTGTTCAGTGAGGGAAATCCTGCTAGACGTAGCCTGGCTGTGATGGTTCCTGGAAAAATATGTATTGAGATAATGATAAAGTCCAACGTTTAAAAACAAACCAAGAAAATGAATTAGTTCATGTCTTTTCCTACCTTAATATGTTTGATTTCTGTGTTCTTTAAAAAAAAAAAAAGGTACAAAGCACTTTCTAAATAATAACCCTTGCAACAGGTCTCTGGATTAGAAAGTGAGAGAGGAAAAAAGACAAAAGATACAAAGCCTATTGAAACAAAGGTCAAAGAGATAGGAAGTGTAATGAACAAGTAGCAGTTAAAACAGTTAGCATCTATTCATGTGAACAGGATCAGTTTAGGTTTTTAAATCGCTAGAGGAGGGGTTACTGCCTCTTCGATATTTGCATAACGTGCACAAACAGAAGGCCAGTCCCTTAGGCACCACCAAAATGTATTCTCTGCCCCTCATCAGCCCTGAGCCGTGGTTTGGGGGGCTGAGGCCAAGGTCGCACTGCTGCAGTGGATGGGCTGATGATGGGAGCTGGGCAGAGCCAAGCCTGCCAGGCTTGAGGGAGCAGTCACGCTTAGCTGCCTCATGTAGAGCAAAGCACAAATAATGAACATTTCACTGATAATTCCCACTCTGTTAACCTTACAGATTACCTAGTGCCTACTGTGAGTTGCACAGCATCTTTTCAATATTCATATACCAGTGTTTTACTAGTCCAAATTTCAGCAGTCCAGTAAAATACAGCAGGGTTTTAAAGCAAGATGGCTAAGTACAGGCACACGGCACAGCTAATGTCAAGTCACAGGCCGGCGGAGAATACAGTTACGTTGCATTGTAAATGATGTCAAGCTTACTGCTGAAACGTGGCTCAGACAAGCATCATCTCTCTCTCCAGGCATCAAAAAGGAGTTGGGTCACAAGTCAACATCTAGGTACACAAATACACAAGGGCTTAAGGATGAGGTCAAAGTGGTGCTTTTGCTTGGGAGGGAAGCAAGTTCTGAAGGAATAACAACTAGAAAGTTTGTACTTACTCTTCCTCACGATGTGCTCCTATGCAAGTAGCTGCACAGTTAGATCTCCCATTGCACAGCGGGGATAACATTTACTCACAGACCACCAGGATGTTAAAGAAAACCAGAAACAAACTATGCAACTTACAGCATTAGGTAATTACTTTTTTTTTTAGGAGTTTGTACAGGAGAAGCTATGGAAAGCTTTGTACAAGGAGCTGACGCAGGCTGAGTAAGGACTGGCAGAACCACAGCAGATGAGGCGGCAGGAAAGGAGACGGAGTCAGTAAGGGGAGCACTGCTGCATTTCATGACAAGGTTGCCAGCCCTTCTCAATCCCAAACCCCAGGTGCCTACCACCACATTTGGGACTCTCCCAAGCTGCACTTCTGCAGCTGAGAAGTTTCTTCCCAGCACCTCCTTCTTCCAAAGCCTGGACTTTTGTTCCCCTCTTCTCTCCTCCCACCCAGCGATGCAGCCCTCCCCTCCTCTATGCCCGGGCGCTCTCTCAGGCCGCTGCAGGCCCGTGCACACACACACCTGGACCCTGGGCTGGCACACCTCCCTCATCCTGCTCCACACTCACGCCCCCGGAGCAGCACTGCCAGCACCCCCGCAACAACCCCCTGAAGCCTTTTACTTTTTAAAGTGGG